TGCATAAGAAATATTATCCGCGCGGCCTGACTGCGGAAGCGGCAAGAGATAAGATGAGGAACGTCGCACAAGAATCAAACGAGGTAAATGATAGCTAGAAATTTTTCCGTTATTCCCAACCCATTACTGATTGTACTAACAGGCTGTTATCAAAATATGAATTTTATTACAACATATTTTGTAAAATATAATTTTAATAAACATTTTTCTTAAATCTTTTGATTTATTTAACATTTAATTTAACGTTTAAAAGTTCAATATTTTTAAAGAGATTTAGGGCTGGTTGTTCTATCTTTATTTTCTATCTTTATCTTTATCTTTATATGTGGTAATTTATTTATTAGGTAAACAAAAGAGTAAAAGAGTAAAACATAAGAGAGAAACAGAGTAAGACAGTGAGCTGAAAGGTTTACCGAAAGGTGGAACAATCCAGTCTTAATTGTATAAATATAATCTTAACATTAATAATTTCTCTGAGAAAGTATTAATATTTTAATTAAAATTTTATTATAATTATGGATTAAAGTTGAACTTTTAGATATCAATTTTCGAAATTTTATTTTCGAACCTTTAGCTGTTTATCTTTTATCGATCTTTCTGTCTGTATAGATGAAATTGAGAGTCTTTCTTGACTGCTGCGAACGTATGAAGCCAGCGTTCCATCATTTCTTCGAGGAGGAATATCGATCACCTGAAACCTGGGTCGAGAGGACTCTTACATACACACGCAGCGTCGCCACCACGTCTATCGCGGGTTACATTCTGGGTCTCGGCGACAGACACCTGAGCAACATCCTTATAGACGAACACACCGCTGAAGTTGTTCACATTGATTTTGGTGTAGCTTTTGAGCAGGGCAAGGTCCTACCCGTTCCTGAGACAATTCCTTTCAGGTGAAATTATCATATAAATTATTTCGCCTTCGAAAAGTGCGCATTAAAGGATTATTTTATACCTAATAATAAGTTAAACGAGACCCCAGTGCGAATAATACAAATAAGCAAAAAAGCGCCAAATTCAGTCAACTCTGAATTTTGTTACTTAATAATATTTCTATGTAATTTCAAGATACTTAAGAGCATGTTTATTAAATTGATGATCAATATAGATTGTGTTATTTCAGCTTGAATTTATGACTGCGTTTCAAGTATAACAGTAATTGGCGCGTAGTTTATTTAACTGAAAGATGTATTTAAATTTTACATAGAAATATTAGGCATCAGCTTTGACCATATTTGGCGCTTCTTATACCCGTTTTTACCCTTTTAGTGTTGTTAATTTCCCGGGAAATTTAAATCGTCGGGAAAGAACCTATCTTTTCCAGAAAGATTTTTCCGAGGAAAGAACCTGGAACTGGGAAAAAAAATGGTTTTTTAATGTAAGTAATTATAAAAATATCAAATCCTTAACACACAAAATAAATCATTGAGGAAAGAACCTGGAACTGGGAAAAAATGGTTTTTTAATGTAAGTAATTATAAAAATATCAAATCCTTAACACACAAAATAAATCTATACTTTAACCTTGGAAGATGGCATCTGATATTAATTTCTTGAATGGAATGTTAAAAAATACAAAATATATAACAGCATACAATAAAAAGGAGGCACAAATAATAATAACAATAGTGGCTATTTTTCAGCTAGGACACAGAATATTACACTATGTTCTACTGTGTATAAGATACTTGTTGAAACGCAGTTTAGTTTCATAGTCTAACACCAGAATGCATTGTAGTCTTCCATTATTATTCTTATAATTATATTTAGCGTATCAATAATAAATTTATGATTTTTATTTAGACTTAAGTTATAATTTTTTCAGAATTGGCAATTTTTGAAAGTTTAATTGCAAAATAAATACGGCTACCAAATAACTTTTTGGAAAGTTGGTAACATGGACGTATTTTCCACACTTACTACTTAGCTTTTTACAGTGCCGAGCAGTGTAACACTGTGTCATAGTTGGAACACTTTGTGTAAGACACAGTGTTACACTGTGTCACCTGTATACGTTGTTAGAAAACACCCAGTATATGCTGTTACAGTATAAGTTAATTAGATTAAATTAAAGAAACAAGTTGCTATATTAAATAAAATTATAAAAAACTTTCTTTTAACATAATATGTACATACATCAAGTTTGTGTGAAACAAAGAGCAACATAAAATAAACGACAGATTAAGAATAAAATTTTAATAGTTCACACTTGAAGATATGTTACAACTATAGGCCATAGATAGAAGTATTATAGATACTATAGATAGTTAAGATAATTGATACGCGTTGATTCGTATTAACTGATAGTATCGCCATTGTCGTCAATGTCGCCATATGTAAAGAAAATACGGTGGCCACGGGTTCTTTCCCTCAAAGCGTGGGAAGAAACGTTTTTCGTTCCTGTTCTTTCTCGGGTTTTTTCCCTGGTTCTTTCCCGATTTTTTTCCTCCCTCGCAACATTAAGTGTAAGTTAACTAATCTCGGCTCAACTTACTCTTTATAATTTTTTAATTTTTAGTACTAGAAAAAGATGAAGAATGAGTTGAACTAAGATTAGTTAATCTATATTGGTGGAAATTATTTAGATTATTTTATTAGAATCCCACATCAAATATGAGATTCTAATCTGTCTTCTTGAATTTATCATTTTTTTCATTTGACCGTCTTTATTAATTCGTTGTCCGCCTCATTGTAGATTAACCAGGGATATTGAAGTCGCCATGGGTGCTTCTGGCATCGAGGGTACTATGAGGCGTAGTTGCGAAGTGACTATGACAATGCTGCGTGATCAGAGGCAGATTATCATCACCCTCCTTCAGGTTCTGCTATACGATCCACTCTTCACGTGGGCGATTACGCCGGAGAAGGCCTGTAAGATGCAGAGCGATGTCGTAAAGCGTTTCTCAGAAAACAGTGGACGAGGTAAGAGGAATTAATCACGATTGAAAGCAATGAATTCTTAACTCGCAAGACTATCTTGATTGATTATGACGCGAATTAATTCATTAATTTTTACTTTCTTTAGCATCTGTGGAAACTAACACGATCGCCAAGAGAGCTCTTTTGAGGATCGAACAGAAATTGCAAGGCACCGAGGACGGTCTGGTGTCCAGTGTTCCCGGACAGGTCGAGAGACTCCTGCAGGAAGCGCGAGATCCTGCGAATCTATGCCGAGTTTATTGTGGCTGGCAACCATATTTGTGAATACACGGTGAATAATCATTCATAGTGTTCATATCCAGTGAATATATCTAGGATAAGTTTTATATGTTATATGTTAATTTATAATGTATATCAAAAGTACCTTTTGTATCGTATTAAATTTTTTATCTTTCATAAAATTTTATCGAAGTTCGAGTGTACTCGTTTATATTGCAGCGCTTCGGCAAATCGATGTATCGATATATCGCCTTCCCGAATGTAATTTTCCTGTATTCCTGTATTCTGTATATCTCGCACATTCGAAATTTTAAATCTAAATTTTGGGCTGAAGTAGGTGAATCTCAAGAAGAGACTGAGTGCAGAAAAAGCGCTATTAAAATTATCAAACGAGAAGCAAATATGAAAAAGACAAAGGATGAAAATAAAGTTTCGAAAAACTTTGTCATTTTCCAGACATACCTGACATTTTCCGAATGCTTAAAGTTCTTTTTTGCAACTTAATAACAGCGTTCGCGCTATATTGATTTCAGAGTGAAAAGGCGTATCGATTTCTTTGATTGTTTATATTGCTGGCGAAAATGATTGTGACGTTGCGAAAATGAGTCGGATGAGAGTCACACGCGAAGCAGATTAACTGCGATGAGATGACGAAGTTCACACCGCAGCGTTCTTATTTTTGTCATCGGGGAGGAGCAGCGTGCTCCGCTGGCGTTTGCGTCCCACGTCCTACCGTGGGTGTAGGTGTAGGTATGAGTTTATATGAGAGAAGATAATAAATTATAATAACTTTATTAAGATACAAGTATCTATATAGCACAGAGCCACAATGCAATGTTACTCCAAAATTGCTGGAACGTTGCAATGCTGCTACAATTTTGTTGAGAACGTTTGCAATATTGTTGGGACGCTGCAATATTACCGCAACATTGTTGGGACATTATAATGATGCTGTTGTAATATTGTTGGAGCACGTTGCAATGATGCTAAAATATTGTTGAAACGTTGCAATGTTGCTGCAATATTGCTAGAATGTTGCGATGCTGCTACAATATTGTTGAAGCATTGCAATGTTGCTGAAAGACTGCTAGAACATTACAATGTTGCGGCAACATTGCTGGAATTCATGTACTATATGAACGATGAGAGCGATTATACAGACTGAAGCTGCACCTCGAGAGGCAGCAATAATAACTTTATAATTAGCTCAGATCTATACCATTAATAATAGTAATAATAATAATAAATCTTTATTGAGTCATAAATATAAGAGTGATTACAAAAAACAGGACGATCATAGACGGCTGCACCTGAAAAGGTGAGGCAACAGTGTGCCGCTAATGCTATAATGATAATAATAAAAGTGTAGGTGTAGGTGTGCGGCGTACGTAGCGCGCAACGTCGCCGTCACGTCTCTGCGATTCGTCATCGATTGCGCGCGCGCGCGGGGCGCACTCGGGGAATCGCTCGCTAAAGTTTCTCCGAATTACTCCGAAGTCCGAAGAGATAGGCCGTGTAGCCGTCACCGCCGTGCAAATCGCCTCCGTTCTCGCGGCCTGCTACGAAAGAGAACGGTACGCGGGGGCTCGTGATTTTCGAATCGAACAAGAGGGTGAGTGAGAGGGAGAGGGAGAAAAAGAGAGGAAGAAAGAAAGAGTGGGAGGGAGAGGGAGAGAAAGAGAGAGATAGGTGCGAGCGCGCGGGCGGGTCCTGCCGAAGCGTCGTCGCCTGTCACGTCTGCCGCGAGGATCATTCTCTGAGCAAACCTCGTGGTCCAGGATAAGGCCAGTCAGACAACTGAGACAACCAGCCAGCCACTTATCAGCCGCCATCTTGCTGCCCGAGGAGAACGGTGACAGACGGAGGACGGAGCCTGCTTGTCGGAGCGGAGCGTGGTGAGAGAGGCGTGAGGAAGGAGAGGAAAGAGAGTAGGAGACAGATATAGGTAGACGACTCACGACCACGACGGTCCCTTCATGCGGTACGCGCCTATGCCATCCCGTCGCCCATGCCTCACTCCATGTACAATCGCAGCTGAGAATAGTTGGAGAACAGCCTAAGAAGAGGAGGTGGTGGTGGAGGAGGCGAAGAAGAGTATCGGCCGTGCCGATCGAGTGCTAGGTATAAACGTATACACATACATACAAAGGTGCGCGCGCGCGCCTCCTTCGTCATCGCCGTCGTGACCGTCGCTTCCACTCACAATGGCAATGGAGACGCCGAGGGAGCGAGAGATCGCCGCCGAGGACAGCATCAAGGTAGTCTGCAGGTTCCGGCCGCTCAACGACTCCGAGGAGAAGGCCGGCTCCAAGTTCATCGTCAAGTTTCCGTCCGGCGGCGACGAGAACTGCATCTCCATTGGGGTACGTAGTACGCTTCACGCCTACGTGAACGTGGACCATTCTTGGTTTCATCTGTCCAGATCCATTCTAATTTTTCGTTATTGTTGCATATATTGTGTATAGATGTATGTTTATCTATATAGATGTGTACATCCATAATGGAACTATGATTCATAACACACATTTCGAAGGATTTTCCAAATCCATTCTGTATTTAACTGTGTACCAAAAATAAGCGAAGAAGGTCGTATCTGAAGTGGATCTTTGTGTTTAATGATATTTTTGTGAGAATAACTTTTCCCTAATTTCCCCCCAAACAATATTTTATAATTTTTCCTGACATTCAATAATATTTAAAAATTTTTTGTATTTTATTTGATATCTGATTTGATTTCCAGTTTTGTGGCAACCCTGTATGTCACAAATTGAATTGACAATGTAATAATACTGTTTTTAATTATTCTTAAAAAAAAACTTCTTAAGTCACAAAATTGTATTAAACACTAGAACTTGCTTTGACCGAGTATGCTCTTCTTTGCTTATTTATGTTGAACATTTTCACTTATTATCTTTATTTAATTTATGTATCAATTAGCAACTTTTATGTAGATTTACTTTAGTCTGAGTTAACTCTTTATCTTTTTCCAGTCTCAAAAATTAGAAAAAGGTAAATAAGTTGAATCGATTGAAGTTAATCTGGTAGAAATATACTGAAAAAAAGAGTCTGGTAATAGTTATCAAATATTGAGTAAAATAGGCTGTGAAAGTCTCAAAAGTATTATCAAAAAATGTTACTTTTCTAAATATTTAATAATTATTACTCAACAGTTATTTGATTATTATGTTGGATACTTACTAAATACTTAGAAAAGTAATATTTTTTTGTTATATTAACCGAATATTTAATTGAAATTATTTCACTGAACTGGTAATTATTACTGGATTTTTTTTTTCATTGTAAACATTAGGAATTCAAATGATGGAAAATGTGTACATACGATAAATGCAACAGTAACTCTATGAAATTTAATACGTTTCGTGTTATTGAAATTTTGCATGTGTTTTCTTCTAGATTCTAGATATGTAAAATAAAGTGTATTACACTAAGAAAATTTATTGTGGTTATGGCAATAAGAGGATTTATCTTTAGTGAAGGCTTGGCGTTTTCTAAACATGAATTTTTTGCTATATAATGTATCAATTGTAGGGCAAAGTATACCTCTTTGACAAAGTATTTAAACCGAATGCTACACAAGACAAAGTCTACAATGAAGCCGCAAAGTCTATCGTCACGGATGTTTTGGCAGGATATAACGGAACCATTTTTGCATATGGTCAAACATCGTCAGGTAGAGTTTATTCAAAATAATTATTATAGAACAAGGTGTTTATTATATATATATCTAAAAAAACTTGGCAAATAGTGTTTTTCACTGGCAGAGCTGGTGCGCACTCACAAGTAAACCTACGGAGGTGTCCCTCACTGATTTTAATGAAACTTTGCATATTTGTAGAACTTTGAAAAATATTTGACACGTATTTTTTTTTGTCTGCAATGGTCCACTCTGAAGGGTGAAAACTACCCCTTAAAGGTAAGGGATAGATTTAACATACTGGGTGAAATAAGTTGAAAATTTTAAAAAGTAAAATATGTTAGGGGGCTTTTGGGGTTGCTGAAACTGAATCTTATGTTAAAAGTATGAAATTCAAAATGGCGGACCCAATATGGCGTCCATATACATTAAAATTTTTATTAGTTTTTATCAAAATGAATTAGTTTTTATCAAAAAGAATTTTAAGAATTCTTGTCATAACAGAATTAAAATTTCCGATTTTTGGGTCGATGATTTTATATATGATATTAAAGATATAAAATTCAAAATGGCGGTCTTAATATGGCAGCTATATACGTTAAAATTTATAATTTTTGCAAAAAATGTATTGGTACAAGGTCTTTACCTTTCAAGATGCTTTTTTACAGTGAGTCCTCTTGCCTCTCACCTTTCGGGGTACAATTTTTTTTCAACTCTGTTGGAAAAACGTAAATATCAGACCGTTCCTATCTACAGTGTATGTATGCGTCAGCGAATACGGAAAACGTTTGTGTACGCTCGCCGCGTCTACTCATGATTGCACGTGGCACGTAAAGAAAACTTTAAATTTCATATTTTTGACATAAGATTTAGTTTCAGCGACCCCAAAAATCCCTTAACCCATTTCATTTTTTAAAATTTTCAACTTTTTTTTATTTCATATTATACGAAATAAGTATCTGGACGACATATTGGACCGGGGGTGGCACCCAG